CATTCTGACTGTGAGCAAGGTCACCTCTCCACAGACCTGACCTGTAACTTGGTCTGGTTTGGTCTTCATGAAGATAGAAAGGTTTATTGCCATACTGTGAAACATTCCAGACAAAGCAATAACATTTCCACAAAGAAAAGCATTTGGCTGACCCTCCACCAAGAAAGTCACTCAATGTACCTTAATAAAAAAAAGTTAAAGCAAAATGAAATAGTCATCGATCAATACAAGTTCTTTTTTCTTCCAACCGCATGCATGGCTAATTACAACCAAGAATCCCCCTCCTCTGTCTCTCCCTGTCCCACCTGACTCCACTTTCCTCCTCCACTCAGGTCCTCTTACTACTCCTAATCGTTGCGGTGCTTTGGAGCGTTCTGACTGGCCGCTCTTCAACACATAATATGGAGCCGACTGAATTATACATGTGTAGCCTTTCGTCTGAAGCCAAAGCAGCGCGAGGCCGTCCCTGCTCCCAGCCAACCAGGCCAAACGCCACAGCCAGGAAATATGAGGCAGGAAGCAGGACGCTAACCTATTACATAACAAACAACGTCTAGTTGCTAATATTAGGTCCACTATGTATTGGAGGAGGATTTGATGCAACATTTTGAATTAATTATAATAAAAATGTAAAACTGACTCTTGCTTAAACTTTTGTCAGAGGAGAAGGGCAGCCAAAGCAGATGGAAGTATCCTCAGGCAAAATATGAAGCCATAAAGTTAAAATACATTTCCTGATACAATTTCATTATACACCTCAGGTATTTTTATTGACTCTGTAAGTTCTGTCTTAATTTCTTAAAATATTAGATGCAAAAATATGATTTTATTAAAAAGTCAGATTTTTGTACTTTTCTAACTTTTTTTATGAACATGCTGGTCTCTGTGGAGAGGTTTGCTTTGCCATGTACATTCCACAGTATGGCATTAAACATATCTAACTATATATCATGCAATGGAGTCAAGACAGTGACAGTAGGCCAAGTTACAAGTCAGATCTGTGGAGAAAAGTCCCAGCTCATAGTAAGAATCGATATCCAGGTATGTTTAAGCAATAAAAACTCTTGAAACTGAATAAATGCTGGAAAGATATGTTTAATGCAATACAGTGGAACATTCCAGGTGAAGCAGTGACATCTCCATGGAGACAGGGAGATGGCAAGCCCTCTATCAGAAAAGTTACACAGTTATTCTGAAGTCTGAACTCTGCTCCAAACCACATGCTTTTACTGACAGAAAATTGGCTGCAGATCTCTCAGTTAAAAAGCCCAAAGCGGATCATTGATCATTTGAAACAACTGGATCTTTATTTGATTAAATTTCGATCAACTGCAGCCCTAGCACTGGGGGTATGTACCAAAATGCTGTGGTCGGTTTGAGTGTCCGGGAGCGTGTCCAGGGACTACAGCAGGTCATCGTGTAGGGATGAAATGAGAGCGATCGAGCGCAAACAAATCTAAATGCAAAACAGGGCTCCTGGATATGCACGTCTCAGCTTATGTCCCATGTTCAGTACAGAACTTTCACTGCAGCTTTCAAACAACTAAAGAAGACATTAGTAAAAAGCCTATCATCATAATAAAAAGTTACCAGCTTGAACAAAGGAAAAGTTAAAGGTGCATTGTCTAACTTTTCTGGTGGAGGGTCTGTCAACTGCTTGTCTCCATGGAGATGTCATTGCTTTGTCTGGAATGTTTCACAGTATGTTGTTAAGCTTTTCTATCATCACAGAAAAAAAACCAAGACCAAGTTACAGGTCAGATCTGTGAAGAGACAATCCCACTCACACTCAGAATTAGGGCTGTCGCAGTTAGGGAAATTCTCCTGCGGTGTGGTATAGCGGCTCAACAGCGCAGTATGCAGTGATACCGCATAATAATAATAATAATTCTTGAAGTCATAACATTTCAATTCATATTCTGATGAATGCTTCAGTTAGAATGCTTTTACTTTGTGTGTGATTTATGTGCATCATCATGTTCACGGGCACGTGCGCGTCTCCAAAAATGGACCCGAGCAGGACTCTGGGTCGAATCACGTTGGTCAAATGCGGTGATCACGGTAACCAAACATGCACCGCGGTGAGCCTCTTAGTTCCGCGGTGATTCATTTTGTTTTATTTATTGTGACAGCCCTAGTCAGAATGCCTGTTTTTGTAGTAATTGTTCCATCTGTCACATATTGAATGATAAGTTGATTAATTATTGTGATAGTTCTCGACATAGAGATATGGAGAAAATCAGGGCTCTTATTTTGCATTAAAGGGCCCATATTACGCTATTTTCTGATCTATCTTATAATGTTTCCTCATCACAAACATATCTCAAGTTGTGTTTTGTTTCTTTCACAAAAGTTTAACACACAAATCCTGCATATTTAGGCTGAGTTCTTCTCTCAAACAGAAAACACAACAGAATACTGCTACATGACATCACAAGGTGGAACAGCACATTTTAAAGTTTGGAGATGTAGAGAGTCTAATAATAAAGCATTACTCAAGCATGTGTGAATGAACTAAAACACAACTCCATGTTTTTGATGAGGTAACAACATTATAACATGGGTTAAAGCTCACAAGAGTCAATTTTGCGTAATATAGGACCTTTAATAATACTTCCCCGAAAGTAGTTTACAATAACCTGAATAAAGCTTTAACGCCGTGGGATGATGCACATGTTTACCAGTGAACCACAAAACCTCAGTACAGTCATTATTGGTGCAGCTCATCATTAAATACATCTCACTGACAGTAAACAGCACAGCGGAATTAATAGGTCTGCCTCTTCAAGTTAAAAGGTGCACTATGGTGCTTTTCTGGTGGAAGGTCCGTCACTTGTTTGTCTCCATGAATGTTATTGCTTTGCCTGGAAGATTACACAATATGCCATTAAATGTATCTGTCTGGCATTTAGTCAGTTACAAATATTTACTGCTTAAAAATACCTTGGAAAAACATGTGTTGTTACTGTGTGCAGGGCTGCCTCTACACAGATCAGACTGGTAATTTGACTTGGGAGTGCCTCCAGTTTGTCTACATGGACATAAGTAAGTTTAAACTTAGACTATGGAGCATTCTGGACTTGGCTTGAACAATTTTTCTAACAAGCTTCAACATTGCGATACCTTTGCAATTTATGTTTGTTAAAAGTTTTATACCCATCCAGAAAAATTGAAAAAAGACTGAATGAACTGACAAACTAATACAAGAATCATATTTCAGAACACAAGTACAGATCTGAACTACAGGGTTAGAAACTGAATATTTTGTTGTTTGTGAAGGAAATTAAATGATAGTACTTCAAAAATTAAAGCCATTCCGATTTTGCTAATTGCGTCCATTCACATTGTGATTTCGATTTGATTACAATTAATCTTGCAGTCTGACTTTCCAACATTTGAGCGATTATATAGAAGTTTGCAGGCAGCAGTAGCTCACAGAATAGACCCAAAAAAAGGAAATAAAGATATCAAAAGACAACTTCAGGGGAATTCCTAGGGGCTTACTTTGACGAGATTTGGAGGTGACTGACGGCCAAGAAATGCAAAGAAGCAATGTGGCAGTAACCAACAGAAATACCACAATGAAGAAGAGGAAAGAAGAAGTTATCAGCCTAACAGTGTAGACCTAGAGCAGTCTAATACAGATAAATGATGCTCCTATAACCTTGTGCCTGCTGTGTCCTGAGTCTGTATTCACTTATCAATTAATTTGAATATAAAACTAGCATTCAAATACATGGGAAGACAGTCAGTGTTTGGAAGTAACTAAAATGCAGAAAAAATGTATTCAGAATTTTAAAACTTTTTTTTTAGACAGTAGAATGTGATTTTAAACATTAAATCATATATTATATGATTTTATATTAGGTCCATGGGTGTATACTAGTCTATGTGCTGTCAAGCTTATTCTGATACAGCTCTAGATTCTAAAGTTTTTATCTTGTGAATGTGACTTTAGTATCGAGACCTGCTCAAATAATTAAGTAATTTTTTTTTATTTATATAGCGCTTTTCACAGACATGTCACAAAGATGCTTTACAGATCATTATTTGTTCATTCCCCAATGAATATCTAGTTTCGATACTAGTTTTAGTATTGATTAGTATCTGAATTTCAATACTTTTGACCCTCGGACAGTTACTCTTTCATTTATTGACATTTAGAATATTACTGTCCTAAAAATCAAAGGGATACATTGCAGTACACAGTACAGACATAAAGCTGTTTTAATCATCTGTGGAATCTAACACAATATAATATAATATTATTATAATATAATAACAGAACTTTATGTCACTATACACATTCTTGAAATATTCTTCCCAACACTGCACATAAAATAACAAAAACAACATTAAATTGCACGCTGTTCTTCCTGTGCTTACTTCAGGGTAAATAAATAAACCATATAATAATATTTTTGAAGCATTATCAGCATTCTAAAAGCAACCATTCTTAGCTCCTTGAATTAATAGGAAACCTGAACAATGCCTTGTTTATATGGACATACCTCTGAATAGAAAGCAGGATATGCTTTCAAAATGAATGCATTATTTGCATTTTCTGTAGGCTAAAAAAACAAACAAAATTTAATAATGAATCAAATGATAGCAAAATAAAGAATACATAACTTGTGCTATTAAAAGATAATAATAAAAGGCATATTGGGGCTAGAAACTGCAGAAATAATCAAAACAGACTATTAAAAAACTAAAAGTAGGCTACACCTGCCAAGCCCTGACCCACCTTGATGCTACGACTCCACTCATGTTCAGCTTCTTTGCTAAATCAGATTAAAAATCATATACTGTATTCCTAAAAACACACAAAATCAGGTCTGAACGTGCCTCCATCAGTCCATATGTCACATGCTGCCAGTTACAATTCAACAATGTCACAGCAACTCGATATATTTACACGCAACAGCCCAAGATCGTGCGTTCAAGCTGATTTTTCGCAATATTTCTCCACATATAGTAAGGATAAACAACTTAATTACCTTAGCATACTTCGGTGGGGTCGTTTATATGTTGTTTCGCCGCTCCAGACTCTCCAGAGCCATGGTTGAGACTCGGATCACTGAGCGGTGTGGTCGTAGTAGTAGAAATCCTCCAGCAGGCAGTTTTCAGTGTGCGCTCCTGGACCCGCCCCCTGCGCTCTGATTGGCTTTCTCGTACGTCAATCGCGGAGAAACGAGTAGTAGGCATAGCAACCGTCAAAAGGCGGGTCCGGAAGGTTATAAAAGGAGATGATTGGTACGGCTTCGTTGATAACGCCCATTATCAGAAGGCTACCTGCTTTTGGTTTGTATTTAGTAAAAATAAGTAAATATGGGATAAAAAAAAAAAGTAGGCCAAAGTATCACTGACTATGTTGATATTATGTCAGTAGTGTGTGTGCTGCTTTCATAAAGTAAAGTTTTAACGTTAAGTTTTGTTAACAACAGTTAGCTTGTTAGCTTTCTATCAGTATTTGGCATTGAAAATTATTGTGCAGTTTAACTAACAGCCATAGCTTTGTTTGTCTAACGTGGCTAAATAGTAAACAGTAGAGAAAATCCATCTGATAGCCTATTTATGTTAGCTCCCTCTTTTAACTTGATACTTTGTCATATTTAATAATGCAGTAGTGCTTATGGGCATAGAATTGGGTGACCAGACATCTCTATTTGCCTGGGACAGTCCCACTTTCAAGCCCTGTGTCGACTGTCTCAGCAGATTTATCCAAAACCAGTGATTTATCCCAGTTTTATACAAGAAATGTCCCAGGTGTCCCTATTTTTGGCCAATTTGATTTAAACCAGGACTAAACTAAGATTAAAACAGGACTATCACAATTTTTGACTAATCTGGTTCTCGCCAACAGTAAATTATAATTTGTTTAGCCAAAATACAGAAATCCAAGTTTACAAATGATCAGAAAACAAAAAAAATGCAGCAACAAAAGTCCCTCAGATTATGACTGACACGAGAATGCACAATGTTACACGTTCTTTTCACAGTTTTATTTATACCAACCACACCAACCCGAGTGTGTCCCAGTTTAGAATTCTGAAAATCTGGTCACCTTATTTTAAATTATTGTACAGTTTAGCTAACAGTCATCATAGCTGTCTCCCTAACTTGGCTAAATAGTAAGCAGTAGGGGAAATCCATGTGATAGGCTATTTAGGTTAGCCCCGTCTTATAACTTGATACTTGGTAATATTTAATAATGCAGTAGGGCCTATGGGCATTAGAAGCTTGTGATGGTGGTTCCCTATACAAAGTTTTGGCAGTTGACAGTAATGTTTTTTAGCCTCCTGATATTGTGCCATTTTGAGGACGGTTGACCATTAAAAAGATGAGGCTATGAGTTTTGCTTAGTTTTTTTTTTGGTTAGTTGCGATTTGGCATGTTTCTAACTTTTCATCATTCTGAAGTTTCAGACTAACTCATTTTACCTCATTGTGGGTGTCTGAGCCTAAAAGTTACTGGGATGTGGTATGTGTACATTTTATTTATATGCAAATGTATTTTATTCCAATCTCATTTATAGCAATGCCAGGCTCCAGCTCTGCAACACTGCTCCCGTCTGCGTCTCCAGCTGGGATTACGCTGACAGTTAAACCAAGCCAAAGGTAAAGGTGAAAATGTCTACAGTTCCTTGCTTCAGTTGTTTTGTGTCTGTAGGGAAAATGGCACACTTCATGCACATTCTACCCTAAACACATTTGACAGTTAACTAATTTAAATGGGTTGGGTTAAAATGCTCCATCATAACATTCAAACCGCCCATTTAACTGAGGTAGAAGGAAGATCAGAACTATGATGGAGCTTTTAGTGTCTTCTACTGATTGTTGCCAGTTGAAAGGACTTTTATATGACAACTTTTGTGGACCCAGTCTCTAGCAAATTATATAATTTTGCATTTGTGAGTTAACTGCTTGGACAGTTCAAAATTCAATTCAGTATCTTGCCATCTCTGATTCAAATTAATTTTTATAATTCATTAAAATACAGTGGTGTAAAAACATGATTTAAATGATTACTCCATTGAATTCCAGAAACGTACTGAAAAATACAACCTTTTTTTTGTACTGTTCACAATGATATTTGTGCTTATTCTGCCCCATTAAATCTGGAAACAAGCCATTTTTGTGATCTACATATTTTAAACCAAATCACAAACATTACTCTTAAAATATCTCTTTTACTTACTCTACAGGTTAATGTTTACAGTAACAGCATTAAAATGACCTAGATTTCAGTTATGACAAAATATGGTTATAATGGTTATATTTTTTGCCGCAGTATCCGTCCCTCTCCTCAGTGTGGCCCAGTGAAACCTCTGACTCACAGATGAACCTCACATGTCCCATGTTTCAGATGCTGCAGTTCAAAGAGCAGGGGAGTCCTCTGAGGTAGGCTGTGATCTTTCAGACAGAGAGAGGACACAATAATGTGGCACAGGATGCTGCTGATTTGCACAAAAGCTTTTTCACAGGAAGAAGCATGAACCACAAACAGTGACAGTGTCAGCACCAACAACAACACATGATGTTTTGGCATACAGCCACCTTAATGGAGATCTTATTGCTTTGATTGGAATGTTCCACAGTATAGCATTAAACCTATGTTGCATTTAATCAATTACGCAATGGTTCTTAGTGGTTAAATTGCTCATCCACCAGCCTAAAGATCAGAAGTTTGATTTCTGCTCGGACGAAGTCACTTCACATGGTTGCAGTGTGTTGTGTGAGTGAGTGATTGGTGCAGATTTGCAGCCTCCCTTCTGTCAGTCTGCCCCAGAACAGCTGTGACTACCACCACCAGTGAAGTGTTTTTAGAGGCTTCAACAGGCTATAAAAGCATGCTACAAATGTTAGACAATAATATTATAATATTATAATAATAAAACATTGTTTTTTATTGCTCAAAAATACCTTTAAAAACGTGCATTCTTACTGTGAGCAGGATTGCCTCTTCACAGAACTGATCTGTAACTTTGCATGATGCTGTCACCTTCCTTTCCTCCACGGAGTTAGACTAGGTTTATGCCTTTAATTAAAAATGGGGTTTCCCATTAAATGGTGTTCATCAGTTTTGGCACCTGTTGAAATACTATTTTTATCCTGAGTGGTTCCGCTCTCAAACACTGAACCATACCCTTCTCTTTGTCTCCCCCTGTGGGTGATTTAAAGCATGACCATTTTCATCATTAAAATATACCAGGTTTCTCATATTAAGGGAATGGAAAGATGTATTTAAACTAAATATGGTTGGACTTCCCACTCCCCAGCCACCTCCTCATTATCCTTAAGTGGAATAGATTAGGTTGATACTGTAGGCCTGTGCCAGCAAAATAATTTAGAAAAAAATAAAACTATGGATCAAATGAAGATCCACCAATATCAGGATTTTTCTAGTTCCCATTTCACACAGTTCTACTATACACGAAAACCTCTAGACTTCCCTCTCCCCAGACTCTTCCCCTAGATCATTACATAAAACATCAACTCTCCAATCTATAAGCTTTAGTCTCTTTACTGTGTTCTTGGCCCTTTTCCAGAATGTGTCTCCCAAATAAATCCTGATCCAATCTCGATTGTATTTAATTAATTTAGAAAATCCCACTGTGGAGCTCCATCTGAACTGAAGGCTCTGAGCAGAGTGCTGCCAAGAGTCTTAGCTGTTCACTTCACAACAGCACACAGCTTTGGATCAAGTAAACATTATGATTTCCTCAGTGTTTTTATTCTGCAATGTACAGCATCCAGGGCAGGGCTGTATCATATTGCTGGTAACATATTATAATATATCGTAGAGCTTGACTAGTATGAGTTTTTTCATGGCTGATGTACATAGTTTAGAATCCAGAGGAGCTGATGGCCAATTACCTCTGCCGATATTTTTGGCCAATATGAAGGGCCGATATTAGTAATTTTCCCCAAATTATTTAATTAAGATTCAGTACACACTCATTCACAACCTTGTTTTTACCACAATAGAGAACATTGTAGTAATATATTTGCAGTATCCTCTTTAGATTTCAGATACATTTTATGCAGATATTTTTCATGCATATTCAGGCAGCTGGTTTAGCTGAACAAAATATGGGCCTCTTCTGGAGATTTAAGGCCGATAGCCAGTATACTAAAAAGGGCAAATATCAGCCCTATCTATCTCTAATATACAGGAAGATTATATGAAAGTTTGAATAATGTTAATTAGTCTACAGTTGACTGTCCTCTCAGCTGTGAGGGGGAAGCAATTGCTACCACTAAAGCCTAGAGAATTAGTGATGTGACGTTCCGTATCGAGGCTTCGAAGCGTGTGTCGAGTAGGGAGGGGGAGTTTCCGCGATGCGCGTCTCGAGGCTTGCTTCATTTAGGGGAGGAACTGAAAATGATAACGTCCGAAGCCTCGCTGCCCGGCTGTACCACGTGACTGATTCAGGAAATGGTTCGGATTTTGCTGTGATTCATCATTTTCAAATAATCATTTTCCATACTGCCAGTATATAGATACACAATACACTGACATCATTACAATATACATGTTTTGCATACTTCTTTATCTTGCTGACAGTTTTATTCACAGGCTTTCAGCAAAATTCTTCAAATTCATGTCAACTGATATTTTTGTGTCCAGTAGATGTCCTGTTAGAGCAAATGAAGCTTCAAGAAGCTTTGCGCTAGAGTGAACCAATTGGATGAAAGGCTTCAATGCGTCTTGACGCTTCATTTGCCCATCACTAGTTCTGTCATTAAAAAAAAAAAAAAAAAAAAAAAAAAAACACCTCTAAAATAAAATAATAATGAAAGCAATGCAGCTTTAGTCCACATGAGGTGAAATGATAAAATATGTTTATTTTGTAATTCCAAATGAGCTTAACGCCCGGGAGCTGTACAATGCCCTGGTCTTGCGTCGGTCGGTGCGTCGGTGCCATAGCGACACAACGTCGTGCGCAGTATATAAGCGGCTGCGCGCGCAGTTGCGCTCCCCCTTCTCTCTTGAGAACGCTTCTTGAACGCTCTGCGGACATTTGTACGTGACTTTGAGATTCAACTCGTCTTAGCCCCTCAGCGGCTGTAAAATACCGTCACAACTCGGTATAACTGCTTGATAAGACTTTTTGGAGGTTTGAA